CGAAGGGTGTGAATGGATGGGTAGTTGGGAGCGCTAAAAGCTCGAGAGAAAAAGAACCGGAGGAGCAAGAAGAGGTTGGCTGAACAACTTAGCTGTTAGTGCTGTTGAGGCTATTCCAAAATTTTAGAGAGAATCGACTAAACCAGTGTTCAAATACATTTGTAAAAAAGTCGAAAATTCTCACACAGAGCCGAACCTGTATGCAAACCGAGGACCTTCATGGATGATGGATGGTGGGAACGAGTCGATTTGAACAAGTGCTAGGATTCACAGACTAAGCGATGTCGGCTTATTTTAAATAGAGCTTTAAGGTAACACATGAGTTTACACGCAAAATGCCGATCAACCAACAATCACCGTGTTAATGAGAGTCAGCGGACGTTCAGGTTACAAGCTGAAACCATATCGAAATTCGACGAGATCTGTGGATGGCGATTGCAAACAACAACAGAGTAGGAACAAATGCTGGTGTTCGGATCACTGCATATCTTTGAAAAGTTTCATGATGTTGGTAAGAAGCTTTCATTGTGACAAACGTCTTGAAAGCACTGCTATTTTCAGATTCGCATTGATTCGAACCGGCTATTCATCGAAGAGCAGTTGTTTCCAAGGATATCAGAGTCTTTTCAGAGCACGTGTGGCGTAGTGGTCGGAGGCGCCCTGCAATACACGCGTGGCATCCATCCTCACGCCCATGGCCCACCGAGCCTTCCATCCCTCCGGGGTCTGCAAATTGGTACCAGGCTTGTCTAGGAGGATAGCGGCAATGGCTGGATACATCATCAGGCCACCGCGAGTCATTTTAAAGGCCAGATTTGCATTCAATCACCATCAAACGATGCTTAATGAAGTCGAATTCATGACGCATCCCTCAGGGATTGTTCAACGTCGAGAGCTTTAGCCTTTTTTTAATCATAGTGTTGCAGAGTCTTAGAGTCGCACCGATTGCATTCGATATGATCGTAGAACAGTGAATGAATGATGTAACATCATTTGAAGATGAAATTTTACAAAGCGTGGTTGTTGATCTATTAGCACTGCAAATGACATTGCACGAAAAAGATTAAACCGTGTATTTGACATCTAGATCCATTAAAGTTATTAAGAGCAGCCATTTTCTGCAAAATTATTCGTGACGTGGGAATATTGTAAGGCAAAAACCTCTATGGAATGCTTTAAGCATGTAGTGATTTGATGGCCGGAATTTGTTAACTTAGGTGAAATCGTTAATGAAGTGAGAAACTCGATATTCAATTTCTGACTGCGTTGCAGCTCTTCTCAACACTTCTCTCGGAGCAAATGACTGAATTTTGAGTTCTAGATGTTAGAAATGAGGCCACCTAAAAATATTATAATTGCTATCAAAATTATCAGGTGGGTATAAAAAGCAGAATCCCAGTATGTTGACCAATCCGAAGGCTTCATACCATCTGCGGATGAGCGTTCAAGAGCCACTTGCAGCATTTGAACACGCACCTGAGGGACCATCCGAGGGTTCTAGACAATCGACTGTGAATAGTCCCATCGAAGGACTAAAGCAAGCGCATGTAAGTCACCGTTTTTAACTACGAGTAACCAAAATCAAAGATGAAGAGCGTTTAGGCCGACATGGTAGCTTGGTGTTACAAATCGCACGGTGCCGTTGCCGATGAACAACTGAAAAAACTCGACGAAGCTTCTGTAAAAAGAGAACACGTAAGGAGACCAACGTTTAGACTACGTCGTTTTCCCTCATTCAATACACTTCAGGTTGCTTACGGTTTGATTGCACTTGTAAGCCTCTACTTGTTGGCCGGTCAACAAGCATTTTTCCTTTCCGCTCTGATTGCGTTCACCTATCCAGCCTGCGCAAGTGTTAAGGTTCGTTAATATCTCCGACAGCTTTGACTATTCTTCATAGTTCACAACCGATTCCACGAAGTGGTTGGAACGAGTGTATTAGAACATGTAGCTTTTGATGTTCGGCATGCAAACGTGACTTCATTTTGTCAGGCTGTTCGCGCAAAAGACTCGGCTGAAGCTTTCTACTTATTACTCTACTGGGTTTCTTTCGGATTCTCTTCACTCCTTGATTCAACCTTCATTAGTGATCTTCCGGTGTACTTCTTGCTGAAGGTATAGATTTAAGGATTCTGCTTTTATTACGTCATCATGTTTTCTCATCTACTATGTTTTATGAACTTTTAAGATTGTGCTGGCTTACATGTTTCAGACTTGGTTCCTTACATTCCTCTTCCTACCGCAAACGCAAGGGGCAAAGTTGATCTATTTCAAAGCCATCGAGCCAGTTGCAAAACTTGTCGATGGCTACGTGAATAAGAACATTTGAAGATCATTCAATTTATTAGAGGCTACAATAAAAAGTCTGTGAAATACTTCTGTTACAAAGCCAACAAATGACAATGGATTTCTGGTCAAGAAATCTACAAGGGTAAACGGCAACATAGAAAATGCACCAGAGTGAGGTAGACGGGAAGATTTGCGTTGACCCATTCGTCTATTGAATAAGAAACTTTTCATCCTTACTGAATTCACGTTAAACCGAACTTGGAAACAGACAAAACATCCGAGCTGGGTTTAGAAAACACCGCTCACATTTTTAAGCGATGTCTATGTTGACGAAATTGTCCTGGTTAATGACTTCTTTCTGGGTTGTGGAATTTTGGATTACAACTCTTGTAAATTGCACACCTGAAAACGAATTCTTATGAGAGAAATAAACATCACTGGAGGAATTGGCTAAAGTGTCGTTTCAGTTGTTAGCGTAATATCTAAACGATGAAGGCTGATTTAGACTACAGCCTCAGATTAACTAGGTTCATTGCCGATTTGGGCTCCCCTGATCAATCCCATTGAGAGGTGATTGTTGATGGCAAAAAATCGATAGAACTAGCAGAGAGACAGGCGAAACAAAGGACCCGCATGGTGTGGTGGTGAACGCGTCACTCCCCGGAAAGTACAAAAGCGCGTTCGTTCCTCAACACATACACCTGAGGTCCGGAGTTTTGCGAATATCTCAGCATTGCTGTGGTTTAAGGCAAAGATGTTTTGTAATACTCACTGTAACGTCATACATCGATTTCCATTTAACCACTATGAGGGACGATTGAAAACAAATATTATGACTAAGCTGGTGTTGCACAGACTATGCAAAAAGATAATAAAAGCGGATCTCTGTGCAGGCATGAACATAATGCAAGTCATGCGTATCGACTAGTAGCGACTATTGGGGCTCAATATCTCGGTATAGCCTTCTCGATTTTGTGCTCATTTCATGCTCAGACAAAGAAAAAAAACGTAAGTAAAAAAGAATGTGTTGAATGATTATAGTGGAACAGAACGCTCAAGTAGTTTACGAATACATCAGAATTGGTGTTGCTGAATGTTATACAAAAGCTGACTTCCGATATATTGACAGCGCCGATGTATCTCTTAATCGCAGACTAACAGCTGAGTTTTTCCCTACTTTCATACCTGTATGATCTTTCCTTCGATAGTTCGTCTGTCACTTGTCGTAGCCAACGAAGGAGTGAGGATTAAACGAACCGAATATGACCTGTAAATAACTTATCGTAGAAATTTTTGTTTATATTCTATTCTTGTCTTATTTGACAACGAAGAACTTAACGAAATGAAAACAGAACCAACTGAACATATTACCACATTCATGACGATACCTAGTTCTTCTACGGCGGCCGTTTCAGTCACGGTGGTTTGAGTTTTTCATAGACGATTTCAAAACATTCTCAGATTTCAGTAATTTTTGCATCCTATACAATTGTCAGGATTTTCCACAGCGATGAAGAATAGAACAAGAATCGATTACTTTTCAACCAACGTTGATTTTTGTGATCAATACAGTGGTCAATACTAGTTGTTCAGTAACTGCCAATTGTCGTCTGAGAACAAAAGCAGCCCTTAGCGGATTGAAAACTTCAGAGATTTAAAGAAGAGACCTTGCTTTACGATTCTATCGACATACATTGCTGCATGTCCAATCAACCCATATAACAACTATTACTATTTTCTATTTAATCTGCAAATATAACTACTACTCATAGCTGGTTCAAACTATAGAAAAATCTTGGACACTTGCATGGTCCTGTTTCACTGGCTGTGCGGCTCCCATCATACTTTCAATTTCTACGGAGTTTCGCTGGTTTAGCCATGATGTTTCCCTGGAGCCCCGAGATCGCCTGGCCAAAGTCTGCCCAAGTCCTCAGCACCGCAGGCAGTCGCCAGCCTTTGTGGATCAGAGGGAGATTTTCCACCATGTGACTTGTTTAGAACGGTGGTGAATCCTAGTATTGGATTACTCTTAGCTAGGCTTCCTGATGGAAACGCTGGACTCCTCAGTTTAGGAGACTCTGCCAGAGGGACAAATCCTCCCGCTGTGCATCGCAACCCGACATCCATGGACACCTTCCTGCCACGATGAGGCGGTCAACCGTTGGGAGGATAGAACAATCAATAGTTTCAAATTTGGCAGGAACTGCTATGGACCTATTTCAAAAATATTCACGAGGATCCGTCTAATGGGTGTATAGAATACACAATTTCTTAACAGATTACTATCGTTTCTTCCATTCTTCTCCGACAATTTGCGTTTTCTTTTCGGTTTTCTTTTTCTACGTGTTGCATGAGTTATTGCTGAAGACTACTCCGCAGATCCGCCCACTGTATAAACCGTTGGATTTCTTGAAAGACTGCTATCGTTCCTTCGTTTCGCCGTTGCTTTCCTTTTCTTATTTCATTTTCTTCTGTCTCGTCCACTGTTGTGCTGATGTTATTGATATTCCACGGTACTTCTTCCTTTAAGAAGTATTTGCTTTTTCTTAGATCGTCATAATAACTCACGCTTACTATTTTGGGCCAATTTTACTGCACAATAATTAAACTTTTTATCGCCGCTGACCACCTCTGATGGCAGATGTGGTTCTTTGTAATAAACAAATAGTACATTCGATTCTGTTACCTTCGTACTATGTATTTTTATAAACCGAGTAATTACGACCACAGCGATGCTGAGATATTCGCAAAACTTGAACCACGGGTCAGGCAGCGTTAGGTAGGAAACTAGCGCGAGAGGCGCAGCGTGGCCTCCGTGGAGCAGTAATGCGTAATGCGCGAACCCACGGAAAGAGAAGTCGTGATTCGACCTGGCCCGTGGTCCACGTTTTGCGAATGTCTCAGAATCGCTATGGTTGTAATTCGCATCATACCTTGCACTGAAAAGCTATTGTAGGCAAGAAATAAAAAAGGGTGAAAACTGAGCAATATTCTGTATGGTGCGCAGTGCAATCATTTCCACGCTTCATTAAGCTCTTCAAAGATCATCTCTTCTTCAATACTATTCGAAAAGATGACAATGTTGCTTGGAAAACAAAGACTTGACCTGAACTTTCCGTCAACGCGTATGGCCCTCTCGTCCCAATCGAATGACTTAATCGCTCACTGAAATGCAGCATGCTCACGTGCCGTAGTGCTTCGAAGTACACTGGAATACACGCGTCGCCCTTGGTTCGATTCGGCACTCTAGTTTCACCGAGCCCTCTATCCCTTCGAGGTCAACAAATTGGTACCAGACCTGTCTGGGGGAATAGCAGCTCTGACTTGATACATCAGCAGTCTTTCGCAAGTCATCGTCCAGGCTAGATATGCGTTCAATCGCCGCTAACGATGTTTGATGAAGTAATGGCGCATCCCTAAGGAATTGATCCCCTCTAAAAGCTTTGTCATTTTTATAGGTTTGCGGAGAATCGCTCGAAAAGAAAATGACAGAGCAATTTGTAAGAAGTCCTATGGAAGCATATCTCATTAACCTGTGATATGTGGGATTTGTCACAGATTTAACGACAACGAAATGAGCTCAACATATCACTACGTAAAATACGAATGAATTATTCAGGTAGTCATGAAAGTAACCTGAGCTCAACTGTCGAACCCATTTTTTTATGGTGATCTAAAGCGATTGGAGGAAAAGTGCCATTTCTGGGAAACAGATGTGATAACACTCAGTTAGAATTCTTATGTAGAGCCTGTGCACTCTTTTATCCAACCACCGCTGGTTAGGTGTTACATTTGCTTCTACGCTGTTGAACGTTTCGTCACAATCGGCAACGGTTTGAAAAGAGGAGAAGTAGACTTCGTTGACTTTACCATATGGTTTTATTGTAAACCATACAGCGAGATAACTGTCACAGTTTTACGACCAGAACGACGCTGAGATATTCACATTACCTGCACCCAGGGCCGGATCGAACCACGATTACCTTTACACACTGTGCCATTACACACTGTGCCAAGGAGGCCCTTGCTTTACGATTCTCTCAGCTAGTTTTCTACCTAATGCCGCCATCAGCAATCACCCGTTAGCACGATTGATCTGGGGAGCACAATTTGGCATTGAACCTAGTTCCGCTGAGACTGTAGTCGAAATCACAATGATAACCCTTTATTTTCTGACTACTACAATTTTTTACGGCAGGGTGTCAAGTGAGATCTAACCGCATCAAGCTCCCCAGATCAATCCAGCTGACGGGTGACTGCTAATTGCAGCGATAGGCGGAAAAACTAGCTAGGAGAAACGCAAAGCAGGGGCCTCCGTGAAGGAGGGCGTAATGCGCGAGCCCCCGGAAAGGGTAATAGTGGTACGATCTGGTTTAGGCTCCAAGTTTTGCGAATATCTCAGCATCGTTGTGGCTGTACCTCACATCGGACTCTGCCATGAAAAATTATAGCAGGCAGAAAATAAAAGGTTAACATTGCCACAATGTTGTTTATTCAGCTGGTTTCGTTTTTACCAAAGGTTTCCAAAGTTGAGAGCTACAGTTAAGAGGAGCTTCATGGATGACTAGAAAACGGTCTATTCTTCGTTCGCATGCCAGAAAAACTAGTAAGTGGTATAACTTCAATGATGCTGAGATATTTGCAAAACTCTGGACCGCAGGTGTCTGCGGTGGAGAACGGACGCGCTTTTGTCCTTTCCGGCGAGTGACGCATTCACCACCACACCATGCGGGTCCTTCGTTTCGCCTGTCTCTCAGCTAGTTCTACTGATAAGCGCCATCAGCAATCACCGAAGGATCGGCATGGTGTGGTGGTGAACGCGCTACTCCCTGGAAAGGACAATAGCGCGTTCGTTCTCCACTGCAGACACCTGCAGTCCGAAGTTTCATACACTGCCATTAAAAAGAGTAGGCAGTAAGCAATAAGTTAAAAATAGCAAGTGGTATGTTTAATCTTCTTCCTCTGTGACCTAGGTACATACGAATTGCCCGGCATAGTTTAAATAGATACCGCTGTCCTTGTACTCAGTCGCTCATAGGTGTTTGGTGAACTGCGCACGATATCTCTTTCGAGGGATGGTGGTGCACAATATCTCTTGTGAAGAATGATGCTGGATATACGATATCTGTTCCGAAGAATTATGGTGTACTATCTACAGAACTCGTCATTCCACGTGAACAAAGCGAGTAGTCTAATAGCTAACAAAGCGGCTCTGGTGAATACCAAGTCTCCGAAACGACAGCATCGGCTCACAACAACAACAGTAACAGCAACAGCAACACCTGTCACCAACCTCGCGTTATCTCAACGAAGGTAGTTCGTGAGAACTACACAGATTAATTATGAACGTCCCGGTCCATAGAAAGTCGGTCGTTTGAGCCGCAGAGCTGTTCTTTGCAAACGAATTATATTGTGATTTGAGATACAACCACAGCGATGCTGAGATATTCGCAAAACATTATGCGATATACCTGATCTCTTGTAACAATTGCAGAGATGAATATATTGGCGAAACGGGCAGACCTTTGTGTATCCGTATAAAAGAACATCTAGATGGCAAACGAAAACTAAGACAAAGTACCCCCCTAGGCACGCATAGGATACAAAAGCATAGCGGAGACGATTTTGAAGTGAAAGTCAATATCCTTGCACAGGAGTCCAAAACACCAGCGCGAAAACTCCTTGAGGCTTTTTGGATCAATGCCAAAAGCCCTACAATGAATAGCAGGGATGAATGCCCGGAGATCATACGCGACCTGATCTCGTACGTTCGCATCGATTTTTGATGTGGGATGGTGCAGTCGTCAACCACATGCGACTATAATCAGCTGTTCTAAACTTCCTCATTGGAAGTCACGAAAAAGCGGTGGGTTTTTCGAGAAGTTGTTGATTGTGTAATTGCCGGAGAGTTCTTCGTCTTTTTGTAAGTGTCATTGAAGCATTTGGCCTAGTAGATTGTATATCAGTATACAGTTGTATTGTATTGTGTTTCTCTATGGAAGTAAATGTACGCTGTTTAAAAACCTCGCGATTGCTGAACAAGAAAACGACGCATTCGTACGTTTGTATATTCTTACGAACTGCCCTTTGTTGTTGTTGTTATCGTTGTTGTTGTTGCTGTGGTTCCATAACTGTTGTTTCGGTCGCTTCACCTTCTTGAGAGCCTTGACCTGTTTTACGAAGCGATATTCGTATAACCTGGTGGAATATCTACGGTATCGATAAAGATCTAATATATAAATAAAATTTGGTTAGAAGTGGGAACACCTGTGCATTGCTCATAAGAGATTTTCAAGACCAATTCTTCTTAAGCATTTTCTAATGGTGTTACTTATCTCGCTCGATATGACGGGTAGCTTGGAAGGGGTCTTGTTAAGGTTTGGATCATTGTTTTATATCTCAGTAAATGCCATCTAACACCCTGCGCCGTCGATTAGCCTGCAGCCGCCTCATAATCGTTTGATCAGCTCGAAAATTTGTGTGGTCTGCCCTATTCGCGGAGACGAGGATTGCATGAGTTCAGGTATAATTTACTTGATCTCATGTAAGGCATGTGAGGTAAAGGATACATTGCGGAGACGGGTAGACCACTTTGTCTCCTTATAAAAGAACATCTGGATGGAGACCTAAAACTCGACAAAGTACTACTCTAGGTACGCATAGATCACAAAAGCACAATGATGATGATTTTGAAGTGGCTGCCAGGATCCTAGCGCAGGAATCAAAACCGGCAACACGCACATTCTTGAGATGTTCTGGATAAATTTTATAAATCCAAAGATGAACCGTAAAGATGAATGCCTCACCATCACACGTGACCTGACGCCTTTTTTCGGATTGATTTTTTGATCTGGATGGCTCCCACTCATCGTCCCATGTCAACAACACACTGGCGGTCCCAGATGCGACAGTACGGTGAGTAGCTTTTGAGCAAAGTGTCGTTCATTTATATGTTAGGCCTTTACTAGTACTATAGATATTTTACCGGATTATATGAATATTGTTGCATAAAATACGTTCAGGGTCTGAAGAAGGCGTAAGCGCTGAAACGTCAGCCATCGAACCACGTCAACAACAACAGCAGCAACAACAGCAGCTCCAAAAAACAACCACAACAAAAACAACAACAACAGCTGGCACCAGCCTCGCGTCAGTTCAACAAGGTCAGTCCGTAAGAATAAAATCATATGTCTGGGAAGATAAAAACACTGAGTGGATAAACCATCAGGCCCGGAAAGTCATTGAATAGATCAAATAAGCGTCCAACTACCTCTATGATGCTTAGTTGAGTCATATGTTTCTTCGCTTTTCTAAGGAGCTGGTTATACACTTTATGGTTTCACCTTTCGCTATTTTTCCGTAATTTTTTAAATCTAATTTAGCGTTTTATGACTTCCTCAATATTTTCACGGGGTGCAAATCGTTATTTCTTCGTACGTATTGAGAGTATGTCGATCAATTATAACCCGTGTTTTAAAAACTGTTTTTCAAAACTCCATGGTTTTCTTCTTCTTATCCCTTTATTGGTAACAAGGTGTACTGGATGTAGCACTCTGATGTACAGGACAGACTTCATTCCCGCTGCTGCAGCACAATCTGGGAAGGAATTCTATATTTCCATCAGAAAATCCAACTAGGTGTAAACCGGTAAATCGCCCTCATCCTGGAAGAAATTTAAGGAGATTATTTTTTTCTGTCCACAAGAGTTGACTAGTGCTGGGAATCGCTTTAGCATAGAAATCGCTGAAAATCTAAGAACAAACAGCTCTCTTGAAAAGAGCCCACAGTGTACCTAAAAATGGGCCACCCAAGTGTTATATCAATGTAAGTATAATCGCTCTCACCTCATAAACAATTAGTGGTAATTTCTTGTGGTGCATTATCAGAAAAGCGTGCAAGTAGTAAAGCAGAAGAGGGAAGTTGTTATTGGGAAAAAGTAGTGGTAATCCATGGAAGTAGTGTTAACAGCACAATTCAGTAGAAACATCGAAAAACTCAATCTGAAGTCGTTTTCATAAGCAGTACTTTTTCTTATAAGAAAATGGAATAAAAATTTTTAACACTCTTTGTGCCGATTGTTCGATAGCTACTGATAGTTTATAGCTTCATATCGGAATATTCTGCTTAGAAGGTTCGATCGGATTGAGAAATAAATATATGGCTTGAAGAAAAGCTAATTTGCTCCTCAGACCTAATTAATTAATTAGAAAGTTTAGAAGGACCTTTAATTAGAGTAGAGATATTTGGCTTACCATAACAATACTCATGTAAATATAAAGTGCAATAAAAGTAAGAATGGGGTCGTGATTTGCTTTGTAGAATTTGCTCCGAAGTCCGTACACTACGAAACGACTCATGCGGAACAGATCCTTGACATACGAATAGAAAGTCATCAATGAAAGAGCAAATGTGATGAGATGTAACAGTACGTGTGACTGAACACCTACTGTGGGAAGGAGCCTTCTGAAAGATGTTAGATGCACGAATAAGAAAGAAACGGCTGAAGTAATGCAAGCAAAAAGTCAAAAAGTGTCAATCTATAGAGTGAAGATCATCCACGAGCTCGCTAATACCACCGCCCATACTAAAGTTTGTCAAGAGGACGTAATTTAAAAAGCCAATAGAAACATTAGAAAAAATCTCCGCCGCTTTTCAGAGCGGTGTTGTTACGGTTTCATTTCTAAATGAGGCAAATAACGACAATAAGGTAGTACGGAAATTATAGCAGAAGGTCTCATTTAGCTAGAAACGGAATTCCTAATACAGCCCTGACATGATGCCCGGGTAGAGCGACTTTGGCAAGACACTTCGTTGATCTGCAAGTACGACTATCTGACTGTTGCTTTAGGTAGGTGTGTTCTAAAAGTAATTAATAAGTGATTTAATCTTATTATGTCTGTTTGTGACACTGGTCTCAAATGGTCATTCCATAAGAGTGTCAACGCTTTCTATCTGTTCATATTCGCATCATAAACTCAACTCTTCCTCTTCGTATCAACTAAGTTCTTCTACCAGATAAATTCGATACTACTCTACTCCAACGAGTTTTCAGATTTGTTTTCTAGTCATATTTTTCGTGACAAATGCTTTAAGATCAAGTAATTCGTGGAAATAATTCTCGAGAAATTACAGCAGAATAACTGTGAAGAATAATTATGTCAGCTCACCGCTTCGTTAAGAGCCCTTCAAACTTGTACGATGTTATGCGGACTGCACCGAAGACGATGAAGAGGAATACAGTATGACGTTGTACACGGCAGTTTTCAGCATGTCGAGTTGTGCTGTAGATATCGTATTCATTCAACGCTTTGACTTTTTTCTCTCGTAAAGAATCGACTGCTTCACTACGATTGTGTACAAGTGGAATTTTTCCCATATCAATAGCGAAGCTCTTCTTTTTATGGGTACGCTATTCGTGCAAGGGTCCAGAATCTTCCTCTAACCTTCGGTTGTTCATCAACTATATGCTTGATGAGAATGACCACTGAGAAATCACGAATAATGTGAGATAACGGATTTTGTGCCACGGCTGTTAGTGGTGCAGTGCACTACACTTATAATCGCTGGTTTGATCCCAGGTCCCGCATTAATCAAACCTTTCTTTCTGTTGGCACTGCCCTTCTGTAGGCACGTGTTTTGGTGGATAAGAACACCGAATTAAAACGTCGGTCGCTACATGAGCCATTGTTAAGTCGAAATGTGCGTTCGAGCATCTCTACTATGTTCAGTGGAATCGAATGAAGTCCTTAAGGGATTGAAAAACGCCGATCGCCTTCTCCCTCTGCGGTTGAGTGTGATTTTAGGGTATCCTAGTGACTTAGATGAATATAAATGAGCAAGATCGAGAAATAGATGGTGGTATGGGGGCACAAAGAACGATTACTTGAAATTAAATGCAGTAAGCCTAGTAAACAAACCTTTATTTTTCACAACAAACTCACTTTTCTCAATAAACTCACTTCGGATGACTACAAGTGTCTTGGACTCGCTGACCAAGGCAGTTCGTGACACCATTGAAAATAAGTAGAACCGCACTGATGAACGCGACTGCCATATGTCTGATGAACTGAAGCAAACCACACGGTGGAAAGCGCATCAGTGAAAAAGTTGGAGTCAACCTCCTGACTTCACACCGACTGATTCCTAGAATGCTGTGGATAGGATAGCAAAAATCCGAACAGCAATATAAACTGGGATGTTCTTTCCAAGAAGAAGTCGGAGATGAGATCCTAAAGATTCTTTAAGCGGACAATTTTGCACTAAAAAAGAATTTCTAGGGGCATGTGCAAGAGCAGGTGACTACAATGATCGAACTGACGACGAGTCAGCACTCACTGTTCTTCGGGATTTTATGATACTCGCGTTCTTAAACGTTAAATTTTGACAAATCATTTTATTAGACTGTAAACGAAGTCTTTTCAACTACTGATGGGTCGAGAACTCGAAATCCTTCATTAAACTGTTTAAAAGCCATGCTAATAGTAGCATGAAGGTCTTCTATTGGAACACTTCTATTTTTAGTCACTTAGTAGTTCAAAACGTTCATAAAATTGTTTGTGGAATGTAATCCACCATCAGGTTGACCAGTTTATAAAATTAATCTCATACAAAAATACTGACAGCATAAAAGATAACGATGTTTCAATTGATGAATTATGATGTGAAATACAACGGCAACGATGCTGAGATATCCGCAAAACTTGGGCCGCCGGGGCACATCGAACCACGATTACTCTTTCTAAGGGCTCGCATATTACACACTGCATTACGGAGGCCCTTGCTCTGCATTTCTCTGATGAATAGTGACTAAGAGCATGACTATCACTCCTCGAAGAGGAATGCTGACCACATCAAAACCTGCGTGGGAACTACATTTGCTTCACCACCCATCAGACGACAAGTCGTTAGCCAACTTACTCTAAATGTTTACAAACACGTGTTGATCGATCGGAGGCATTAACCTGTTCCTATTCACTCTGCAGTCATTTACTTCTGTCACTGCGCCATCTACGGAGCGTCAGTAAACTATTCAGTCGTCTCTATCGTGCATTAGATTTATCAGTTGGACTCTACATGGATGTGGAAAGCTGCACTCTCTCTGCACTCCTTCTTAAATTGTTTTTGTCTAAAACTATGAACGGATAGTAGCTTTCCCTGCGCTCAGCTTTGGCATAGGTTTCCAAATAGCTGGGCTTTCGTTTGGAAATGTCGAACACCTCAATTCAAATGGAGACGTACTTCATGCTGTACGTAGCATATTAATGCCTGTGGTTCCCCACGACGAAGCAGTAAGTCATTGCTTGATATAAGAGTATAGCCATTAGTTCCCTACATCTCTTAGTGTCAGTCTCATGGACACACACAAAAAAGGTGTGCGTTTTATAGTACGAGATTAGGCTGAGACGAAAATTCTAGGTGTTTTGCACTCACGTTTACTTCTTTTTTTAGACTGAGTTTATCTTCACGAAGTGTCTTTTGAATACCCAGTCCATTTCGTAGTGAACTTTCCACGTGAGCTGTGACTTACCAACATCAATAGCCGTCCGTGACAGGCGCCTCTTTTAAAATGGATAAGAATTCCTTAAGACTTATCAAAAGATGAACGAGAAAACTCCCACCAGTTTTGACACTATTTTTTAAAAGGCTGTAACGTCAGCAATGGGAATCTTAAGTTGGAGAATAAGCAAAAAAGAGAAATTTTTATACAACGAGATATATAACTTTTCGAAAACCGAGAAAAGAACTTTCGAAGACGACACAGTTCAGCTTAGAAATTTACTCGCTTAATAAACAGAACTAGAAATATTTTAAAAGTTTGGCTATACGATAAAATTGCCAAAAAGGTTAGGAAATACTTACTTGATACTTGAGCGGCCCGTCACCACTGGTTGTGCGGGCGACAGCATAATCTCCATTTTTCGGAGCCTTGGAATCCCGAGGTCAGCCTGGCCAAACTCTGCCGTAGGTCTTCAACACCACACGCAGTCGTAGCTCTTGTGGATCAGAGGGAGGTTTGCCACCATACGACATTGATACCAGAACGGTGGTGGATCCTGGTATTGGTTTTCTCTCAGCTAGCCTTCCTGATGGAAACGCCAGACTCATTCTCAGCTTGGGAGACACTGCCAGAACGATGAATCGCCCGCCCCGCTGTACATCTCAGCCCGACACCCATGAACACCTCCCACTCACGATGAAACGGTAAATCGTTGGGAGGATTAGAAAATATTTCATTATTGAAAGAAAGAAATTTTCTAGTTTTTCACAAAACCATTTTTCATAGTGTGTCCACATTTTGTTTAGAAGCGTGCAATTTAGCGACACTGATTGAACGAATCCACAAAGAACTTTCACAATAAAGAACAAAAGAAAGAACATCTTTACTAAGGAGTGCCAGAGGGCACAGCACTCCGACGAGAGCTCCGAAATTGCGACGAAGTAGCAAAGAACTTTGGAAGCAATATGGTAGAAGTGCAGCTGGGAAACACACCTGCTGTCGCCACAACACCAAGTTGGTTTGAGAAGACGAGCTAAACTTTTATGTCGTCTATTTAAAACTGTATTTAAAATTTTACTAAGGAGTGCTAGATATCACATCTTTCCGATCAGAGCTCATGAGTTTGCGACCAAATAGCAAAGAAGTTTGGAAGCAGTCTGTTAGAAGGGCAGCTAGGGCTTTTCATCTGCTATCCTCATCACATAAAATCGGTTCGAGACGACGAGAAAAAGTCGTATTTCACTTTTTTGGAGTTGTGCTTAAGTTTTCTCACTTATGTAAACTTCGCATTAGCGGTCTCTACAACTTGTTGAAAATTGAAGAGGTGGAGACTTGTTGATAAGTCAGCAGCAGATTTCCCTTCATAGTAGAGATCAGATATTGCCTCGACATACTTTTGCCGGATATCTCATCAATTCTTCGAAAAATAGATGCATCTAGTGACGATTTACTTTTAGAAATGTCAGTTTGAACATGATCACCTTTAATTTGACTTAAATTCTACAAACATAAATCGACTTACATTGTGTGATGATATGAGTGGACTAAACTATTTAAAAAACTCGTTTCCTCTTTGCCTCACCTATGAGAAAAGCGAAACGAAAGCTTAATGAGAAATGAAAGCGGCGCATGGTGTGGTGGTGAACGTGCTAACCTCCGGAAAGGGTAGCTGCGAGTTCGATCCCCACCACAGACACCAGCGGTCCGCGCTTTTGCAAATATCTCAGCATCATTATGGTTGTATTTCACTTTATAGCCTACCATGAAAAGGAATAGGCAGAAGTAAAAAGTGACTGCATTGTGATTTATTTAGAACTTCGTCACTGTCCAATGTGACATCCTAACGGCATCCTACTCAAAAACAGACTGCAAAATGTGAAAATAGGTGAAAAAATGGAAGAAGTTACCTGGACACAGAAATGAGAATAGAGTAATCAGAGCAGCTGCGTGGTCGAGTGGTGCACTCGATACGATCGTGGATTTCATAGTGGAATTGGAGGAGCACTCTGCTCTGGTAAACAACTGAAAAGAACGAGGATTCTATTAGGGAATGAGGAACTTGGAGAACGATGTCGCTAGACTGATTCGATTTACTCCATGTCACTGGATCGTCTTAAGAAGTCGACGATTCGAAAACAACTCTTTAGTCCTATTCATTGCAATTGAATCTTTTTTTTGATTCGGCTCCTAGTCTCTAACCATCCTTGCAAAGAAACCAGTTTAGGGCCTTCACACTTCCAATTTTTGATAGGACGACCAAAGTTCTTCTGATCGTTGCAACTATTCTGTGATTGAATAGAATTTATCACTGAAAAATATGCAGTAGAAATACAACGCCATGTGACAGACGTGAATTCCAAGCGATAGCAATGCAACAGCATAAGAAGATATTGTATCATAAAAGATATAATAAATAGAAAAAGAATAACTCAAAGGAAAGAAACACGAGGATATAATTCGATGTTTTCTTCAACAAACAGACACGAGGTTGTTATTATAGGATTTATTAGGATACAATAGCTGACGCTTCGGCGGTTTCGGCTTCATCGGAGCCTGGAAAGGTCAAATTGAGATGTGATCTACTCAGCCAAACACTTTCACAACCCTAGCAGATAAAACTTGACAATTCGATTTGCATTCGCATAAGAAACAGCTTCATTTAAACACCTACCGTTTATTTGTTGTAAGTATTTAAGTTAGTTGGTGGATAGCAGCCGCACAGAGTAATACATGGGCCAGAATTGTACCTGTGTCAGGTCATTGGATCAGCCTGTGATATACCAGGTCGCGCGCGATGACAAGACGTTCTTCCTTGCGGTTCAATTTGAATTTTTGGAATTGATCCAAAACGCTTCAAGAGCCATGAAAGTGTTTGGCTGAGTAGATCACATCTCAATTTGACCTTTCCAGGCTCTGAAGAAGGCGAAACTACCGAAACGTCAGTCATTGTGTCCTAATAAATTCTACAATAACATCCTCGTGTCTGCTTATTGAAGGAAAACATCGAGTTATCAATCAATGCCGAGGTTAACAGTAGTTCAAAAACAAACAGCGACTGGTGCTTAAAAGAAAAAATGCAGGTTGTTTTCTCTTCTGTTCCTCTGACACCCGACTTAAATCTCAGAAGAAAGACATTCAAATAAGGGCATAAGTATCTCGAATGAACGAGTTAGTTTTTGTTAACCATGACTCAGACGGCTATTATCGTGAGAAACAAAGTTGCTAGAGATTTTTTTAAAAGACGCTTGACGTGCCTGGTTCTTCAGATTTTCGAAATATTCAACTTCAAAATCGGTTCCTATCGACGTTAGTTGGAATTCCGGCTTTTCCATCTCTTTCTTCCTCTATCTCACTTATTTAATAAGATAATCATTATAACACAATCTTAATAATGCACTCTGTCCTCATGAGATCAAGGGGTCTTCAGCTTACACTAAAACAGGACGAACAGCTATGTTGTGAAGATGGAAAGAAGCCGGATATTCCAGGTCGGTGCTGTTTTCTATACTCATTTAAGTGCAGATATTATTTGTTTTAGAGAAACTTGTTCAACAATGAGCTCACAGAGGACACCCAGTGAGCAGATTTTGTGATAGGCTGTGGTACCGCGTAGATATCTGTTCGTTGTAGAAACACATGAACATGCTAGTTTTTCATAGCCTACATACTGACACGTGCCATGTGCAAAGTAGAGACAGCACGTTAATAAAGTTTAGCGGTAGGTTGTTTAATGCGTAGGTCTCACAGCCACCGAAATTGCTTCTCCGTGGGAGAAGCAATGTCTGTTCTTCTACAGCTTTTCTACAGCAATTTAGAAGGTTGCCGAAGGAATCGCGATGGATTCCATAAACAATCATTCCTGTTAGTGTGGCGGAACACTTGTGGCGCAGTTGTTAAAGGTGCTTTGCAATAAATTTCGGACTAGTCGAAGGCGCGATCCTGTGGCCTGGGCTCCTCACGGTGCCTAGCCCTCCGGATGCGGCAGGTTGGTATCAAACTCATCTGGGAGGATAGCAGCACTGACTTGGTAGCTCGTTGAGCCACAGAAAGTCACTGCACACTGCACAGTCCAGATATGCATTCACTTATCTCTATGGTGCCCACTGGAGTCGAAAGCATGACAACTGATCAAAGTAGAGCACCGTATCTTTTTTTCACTGTTTAAGTTACAATAGATGGTCTTGTTCAATTGTCGGAGAACTTGCTTTTATAATTCACAAAGTTCCAGGTGTCGCGGTCGTTCTCTCGAGGTTCGCGGCCTCAGCCAATACTGGCATTCTCTTATCTCTCTGGCATGTTTCTTCACTTTTTAGAACTCCTGTAGAAATAGAAGGTGTGCAAATTGAAAAATTTCAGTGGCTCCTCCCTCGCTTGCTAGCTCAAAAACTCCTGTGTAAAAACGCCTTTTTGCAAGCCCAAACGTTCAGCTACTAGCGAGTGGTTTTTTTCGAGAAAAGAAATGGATATTGGTCTTTTTCGTGTTTCGCGTTTTCATACGGAGGTGTATCAACAAGCCGAAAGACACATTTTTATGTTGGAGAAAGCTACGGATGATTCATATGAAAGGTAACCATTCTACATAGGCTGCGTTAGGAGAGATGTCTAGTTCACATGCAAATCAAATGCTGGGTTTGTCTAGAATTTGGAGGAGAGGAAAAAGGAAAGACTTTCTCTTCATGAAAGCAGATTCGGAGCGTTCTAGAAAATATGGGCATTATTGTTTAACAAAGGATGAAACGATTGCGTAAGGCGGATTCAATCATGTGCAAAAGAAAAATTTCGGCCTCGAATACATGGTCAATCAAATTCGAATGAAAATGTGGTGAGCGATGGAAAGCACAACTTTCTATGGCAATCGGTTCGATTCGAAACGTCTTAACGTTTTGTGAATCCATGACGAATGAGACGTTTTGGAATTCTGTTCAAATAGACAGATAGTAATAGCCGCCTAATGCGCCAAGATGACGTCGAGCGCGGCGAACTTTCCTTTGTGATTCGGATTCCGGTTCTCGACGGAGCTCTGAAAGGCAAAAAATCCCGGTTAAGAAAAGCGATTCGAGTCCGTCAATTATTAGTATTTTCTCCAAAACATGGGTGATTTACCACATGTTGGTTTATGAAGCGATGTAATGCTATGAGATGAAATCTCACCCCTTGTGGTTTAGAGAAGGTGCGGTTATCAACTTAAACTCTGTCTTAAGTGTACTTTGTTCACACGATTCAACACTCTGACATAATCACCGCTTTTAGTTATGTTTTTCTTGTTTCTCAGAAGAACGAAAAAAATGATGGAACATGGCGAAAACGCTAATACTTTGGGTTGCTGTTCCAGGCCAGTGCATTTACTGTTACTGATTCCTTCTGCATAATTCTTCTATTTCATCTAATTTCAAACAAACGAATAAGGTTGCGTAACAAAGCAGAGGTTAAAGGTGTCTCTGAAATACACACGAAGGTTTATTTCGACTGAGCGTCCGGCAACTCAAGTCCTTCATCACTCGAAGGCAAGTGGTACCGGACCTCTTCCGAAGCGTAGAAGCACTGGTATGATACATCGGTGAGCCGCACACGTTTTTGACGGGCCAAATACGAACCCGTCATCCCAGCGGACTAGAAATGGTGTTAAATGCGTGGCAAATGCCTAAGTTATCAATCAGTCAACGCTGCTCGCCTTATTATTTATCATTTAATTATACAATCACTAGCTACTTGATAAAAAATAAAAAATGAATGGAGTAACTTGGTAAGCAGCGAATAGGGAAATTTAAGAAAGATTCACGTACTCTCTTCGGCTTCATCTAGTAGTGAAGTGATTTCGACCACAAGACCTGGTACCATGGATCGATTTTCACGAAGTATTAGCGCTGTCCGTTCGACGATTGTAAGCAACGACAAGTCCGTAACTGAAAGAGATCTCCGAGCCAGCCGGAGTAGATCTCTGTAGATATCAATCGCTCTTTGGTATAATTTTCTTTGATCTTTTCCATAAGCTGAACAATGCAATACTCTTTAAATATGATAAGCCTAGCAATGTATTTAACTGCCAACGAAACAAGAGTGCTGAAAAGTGTTGATAATATTGAATATTATTTTTGAATCACAATGTTAATCGTTTTATTTACTGCCTACTCTTTTTTAATAGCATGGTATATTGCGAAATATAGCTTCAATGAAACAGATATTGGCAAAACACCGGACCGCAGGTGTCTGCGGTGGGGAACGAACACGCTGTTGCCATTTCCGGGGAGTAGCGCGTTCACCACCACACCATACGGGTCCATTGTTTCGCCTGTCTCTCAGCTAGTTCTATCGATCTTTTGCCGTCAGCAACTATTTTTTATTGCTTCCATTGAATGAGCTCTGCCATTCCGTCAATGGCATTCAGTGCTACTTGTCACAAGCAACTAGACACTATTTTTAAAAAGAATGTGCCAGAGCAATGAAACACCTAGCTGTCTACGCCATAGTTTGTTGACTCTCATGATTTTCTCAACCACCAGCAAAATTCAACCCTGGCTCGAACCGCTTCTCATGAACAGTGTCTGTTATGCACGTGGAAGCACAGAGAAAATTCCTGTATATGATGTTGTTGGTTCTTCAACTATTTCGGTAGTCCAAAAACGCTCAAGTCCTTCACATTCCTGATGTTTCCGTTGGATGAACTCTGCCACTTCGACAAAGGCATTCAGTGCTACTTGTCACAAGTTTAGTTTTAACACTTCTCAGTGGTTCTTACATGAATTTTGGAAAATCTAAATGTGAAAAGAAACCTATCGCCCAATTTATAACCTGGACGGTTGGCATGGTTTGGAGTAACCCTAGGTCCAACAATTCTCTCATCTCTTCCGAGTCGGGAAATTGGTAGCGGGTTTCTACGGGAAAAGTTCACTGCCTGCAATTCAAATGGTAACGTTCTAGCCCGACTATCTCAGGACTCCAAGGAGAATCTGCTCGACCAGTTTGCAACGACATTCATGGTCAAAGGAAAATCCTCGAGCAACAGGCGCATTTACATGCAAAAAGTTGTATGGTCTCCGTAGATAGTGAGTGCGAAGAAATGAATCGAGTGCAAGAGGTGTTGAGATCTACACAGTGAGCTAAATATGACGTCGGAACATTTAGAAAAACTGCGACAATATACCTGGTTTGATACGTGCATGAAAAAGATATGCGTCAGCAAGAAGAATTTGATGTGCTAAAACAGCATTTCTGACTGGCCGTGCTGTTTCCAGAATGTCCTATAGTGACCAATAGTCAGTGATATTACGTTTTTAACATGAAATGTGTCTGGAACTCACTTCATATGCTTTGTAACTGGCATCTAGACGTCTACGTAGATGTTGGATATTCAGTTCGCCTTCGTCCAAAGGTTGACATAATAGCGATAACAATTCATTTTCGTCTTCTACCACTCGTGCACAGTGAAGTTTCTTCAGGTAGAGCAATTCACCACGGTCTAGACAAATTTCCATGGGCTCAATAAGGAAATCTCGTTCTTCCTGATTTATCCCAACTGTATTCCAATTTTCTGATTAGGCGTTGGTGAAATCAATAATACGTAGAGCAAGTCCGTATAAGAGTCGCCATTTCACACGAATTGAAAAAAAGCGTATGGAAAAGAACACGTTTAGGTTTGTAGCCGCAAAAAGTTGGAAAATTCACGACAAAATTTGTCCTGAGGCATTTAAGCTTTCGAAGCGCGTTGCAACTCTTGAGCACCAGTAGGACCTGTGCATTGAAGCTACGCTGTGGGCCTTGTATTTTCCAGGGACACGGGCTCTCTCATGCTGTGCAGATTAGACCTCTATGAAGCTTTTCATTTCCATTCTCTTTGAGAAGAAGGAGTCATAGGATATTCCTGGATTTTGCCCTATGAAACAGACTTCTTCTCAATTAGGTCCCTGCACAAAAATTTTGAATAAATTCTCAATTTTTTCGGAAAATGATGTTCTAAGTTTTAGCTTACGAAAGTGGTTAGCTGAGTATATTGGATGTCACTTTGAACGTTCCAGCTTCTGAAGAGGAGAGACCGCCGAAACTACAGCAATTCTTCATTAATACATTCTATAGTATCAAACACGTGTTCGCCCACCAAGAACTATTACCATCTAAGACTTGATAAATCTGAGCTTATTACCAGCCTTGTATAGTTTTTGAGTTTTTTTAGGGCGCGTGTGGCGTAGTGGTCGGAGGCGCCCTGCAACACACATGTAGAATCGGTCCCCTCACCTACGCCCCACCAAGCCTTCCATCCCTCCGGGGTCGGCAAATTGGTACCAGGCTTGTCTAGGAGGATAGCGGCAATGGCTGGATACATCATCAGGCCACCGCAAGTCATTTTCAAGGCCAGATTTGCTTTCAATCACCATCAAACGATGCTTAATGAAGTCGAATTCATGACGCATCCCTCAGGGATTGATCAACGGCAGGAACTCTGTACTTTTATTCTTGTATAATTTTTGGAGGCCCATTCCTAATGAGTCTTTCAAAATTTTGATTTCAGCTAAGCTTACTTAACCACAGGATACATACTTAGTAGTTCGCCTTGCTCAGCTTTCCTTCTTAGAATCGCCTCTTCATTCCAAGAAGCGCGACAGTCATCCGAACTAAGTAAATGTACACCACATGTTTCGACATCATCGTCGATGTTCTGAGGAACATAATATCTGAAAAATTAGAAATTTAGCTCAGGATAAGAGATGAGAACTCAATAACTCGGAGCATTGCAGAGTTAAGATCGATATGGTGAATAAAAACACACACGAAGGAGACGTCGGAGTCGAAAGCTCAGCTAAATGACTCATGAAAATCAAACGATAACGAAGGCTGTTCTACGCCATCATGTACCACCTGGTCCGAATACAATCCACCTGCATCAACTGTTGCCCCGTTGATTGTCAAGAGATTCGAGCACCAACCAAGATTGTCTCCACTTATCTTTGTCGTGTGCAAGACCAGTCGATGGACTTTCGCCCCTCGCGGGACTAGCTGAGCACCATATCTTTCCTGTAAGGCATAAAGAATTCTGACCATTGGGTCAGTGGTCGTCTTCCTGTACGCTCGACATTCCGAAAAGCCTAGTCGCTAACGATTTTTGATCATTGGTTGTCCGTCATACGTATTACTTGTCCGGCCCACCTTACGTTCCATAGTTTGGCGTATGAAGGATGAAAAGGATAAAGCTCTTAGCGTTGATCGATCTCTGAATGATGCGCCATGCATTCGACTTCATTAAGCATCGTTAGCGGCGATTGAATGCATATCTGGCCTTTACAGTGAGTCGCGGTGAACTACCGATGTATCGAGCCGGTGCTGCTATCCTCCCAGACAAGTCTGTTACCAATTCGCCGACCCTGGAGCGATGGAAGGTGTAGTGGGCCATGGGTGCTGGGACCGATTCCACGTGTGGGCACCTCCGACCACTGCGCCACACGCGCCCCATAGAACGGGTTTTTGATTTTTGATCGGTGACGTAGGTGGGAGCTTCAGATTCCCTCTATTGCTTTCGTCATCCGGGGTACTACTAGCATCGGCCTTTCCACTGCACTTTCTATGACGCTGAGTCATCTTTCATGTTTCCAAGTAGCGGCCAAGTTTCTCACGCACTCTTTAAGGCATCGAGAATCGTGCGGTCGAAAAGATAGGCACAGAGCAGGTCACTTTTGTTTTCTTAGGGCTGCGTCGACTACCACTCGTTCTGTGTATCCAGTGCTTGGTGTTATAAGAACCATGTCATCTTCGAAACAAATATGCTGTAATTGTCGACCATCAACTTCTATCCCCATGTTGTCCCATTTCCGTGTTCGCTTGATGCCTGGAGGACGGCCGGGAATAGTTTTGGCGGCTTGGTATCGCGTTGCCTAACCCCTCTTTTGACGTTGGGGTTAATATTATTGTATAATTGTAGGTGATATTTTGCTTGTGAAAATCTTACTTAGCTCACGAAAGATCCTTATATACTGATTAGGGACACCTTGGCTCCGCACGGCTGCCGTGACTGCTTCTATCGCAACAGAGTTAAAAGCTTTCTTAAACTGATGAAAGTGAGGTATAGCGGTCTCTTGTACTCTCGCTAAACTTCAATAAGTCTTGTCATAGTATGGATGCGGTCGATCGCACGGTATCTTTCTTGAAAACCTGCTTGCCCACATGGCTATCAATCGTCCAGTGTTCTGTTGGATGACTAAAGTGAAATATTTGTTTACGATAGCAGTAAGTATATTAAGCGATAGTTCCTGATATCGTGAATATCACCTTTCTCAAACAAAAACACGCTCTTGCTGGTTTTCCATTGAACGGGAACCTTGTATTCTGACAGATAACGTGTGAAGCCGAGCTAGTGTGTTAATGAGGAGATTGGAAGATTCCTCAGGTGTTCAGATCTTATTCTTTGCTAAAAAGGTGTTCGATTCTTTGCAGATGAAAGACATCTCGGATTTGGGAAGAAAGAACCGGTGGAGTGACACAACCATCTTATTTTATTTCATATAAGAGCAGCACTGGGACTTGGCTATTGAACAGATCCGAGTAGTAAACGTGAATGATTTTCACACTGGTTTTCTGAAAGCTGTACTCTCTTCCTTTAAGACGTGAGAGTTCAACAATCTTGATCTCGTAATTGGCCAACTTTTGGTAGGCTTTGAGAATGGTTTTCCCAGCCTTTCCAGCTTCGACCATTACTGTAGCTCTTTTCTCTTTAAGATCTTCCTTTGTCGCCTGTCTGCATTGTTTCCAGGTTCGGACGCGAGTCGAAGCCTTCCTGTAGTTAGTGCGATTCCACGCTGGTATGTTTAAATTGTTGGGCTTACACGAGGTTGACAACGAGATTTATTTCGGCTTATCTTTCGGCATCTTCGTCATCATCAGGATGTGAGTGTCTTGCCACGTGGGTACATCAGCTCAATTGTTTTTAAGAGGTAGACAGCTGTTGGTGACTTTTGAATTTTCAGCTTTCACAGCCGCTAGGTGAAGACGTTGAATAAGGCGATCACTTCACTCATCAATGCCACCAATAACAGCATCCTCCCAGAAGCCGAGTAGTGAATTGAATAAATGCCAGTTCACGGTGGTTTCGACACTTCGTCTTTTCAATGTGGCGTCGTTTGTCCTTCGTACGAAGGAGGCGATAGGCTGACTCTGTGTAGAATGTTGGAAGAATAGCGATATCGGTTAGACAAAATCTTCAATTTACTATGATTTGTCTATTCCGTTACGGTTCTCTCTATCAAGATAGTCGTGAGTTGAGAAAGAGGCTTCTGGAATTGCGAGTAACCACGAAAGGTCTTGGTTTTCATGATAAACGCGGGAGGCCGTTCACCTACTCGTTCCATTGCAATCTGGGTGCCCTAATGTGACGTTCTTCTGGGTTCAACCTTAGTGTTAAAATCTTTATTGAATATCTTAGAGAGTGTGTGGTGTACTCTGTATAACTTCTGTAAGACCATATAAAACGGTTTGACTTTGGCTTCGTCATAGCTTGAACTCGATGCGTAGGTGACGAAGGTTGTTAAAGCCGGTATTGATCCATATATCTTCGACCGTAAACGACCGATTCGTGTTGTTCAAAAATGGTGGTAAGTTAAAGAGTAGTGGAGATGTTTTACAATACCTGTTTAGATTATTCGCCTGGTTCGACGAAGTAACCGAGGTCGGCACTGGAAGGGTTTTGTGTGGTCCCGACCATGATGAGGCATTTGTATGCGTTAACTCATCGTCATTGTTCTCGCTCGCTATCGACCGTCTCCGTGGGAACTCAGTTCTGAACATCACGAATATTAAAATTGTAAATATACTGATAATAAAAATCACTTAGATTCAACAGCCAACAGTTCAGACTCAAATCGGTGTGCGACCTTTTGTGGTCAACAAAGTTAATACTCATTTTTTGATCGCAGAAATATTTTCCACTTTAAATTCATTCCTAAAGGGTAAAGGAAAAATGTTCGTTCCGTCAAGCATCGTAGGGCTGGTTCACTCCAGATCTCTCATTTACAATGGATTTTGTTGGCCTACAGGCCTGTGTTGCTATCCTTCCCAACAAGTCTGGTATTAATTTTCTGGTCCCGGTGACACGGAGGGTGTGATTTGCAAGGGTTACCAAATCGAACCATATGTCAAGAAACCTCTAACCGCTCTATTACACTCTTCCTGTATAATGTTCATAATCTCATAAAAACTATTGGATCAATTGGCTATTCGATTTGAGAACATCACGTATTCTATGCAAATCCTATAGCGAAGCTTAGTTCGAAGTACGTGAATCAAAATAACCTTATTTGAAACGTACAGCAAATATTTGAAAAAATTCTGCTGGGCGAACGAGCTGAAAAGCACCTGGCTATTGAAAAGGACGTCGGCGAGACCACCTCTTCATACGAGTTGATGAAAGCACGATCGTTTTGACGTTGACGAATAGAAGTCCTTATGTGATTACGAAGATGTACGTAAACAATCTAAAGCTTCGATAAGATACGGCACAAAATTTCCAAAATTTAAAGTGTACAAAATAAAAAAGAACTGAAAAATGATGATGACGCAGATTGCGTTAGATTATTGAGAAACGTCGATTTTAACGTTCCATGACTAAATCGTTATTATGGGGTGAAGTTTCATGCCCTTTTGAATGCATGTATTAACTTAAGGTACAAATTTCGCTCTAGATTCGACCTAATTGTTTATGCTTCTATGTAAACCTACTCCTTCGTTAAGCTTGCTACAACTTTCTTAAGGTTGCTACCCTACAAGCAATTCAACCTTTAACGTAAAATTGCAGAATTTTCGCAACTAGGCTCAAAGGACCTAAGACCTGTACTGAACAAAATTTACACCATAGGAAAACACAATACAATACAACAGTAGGTGACGTTTCGGCAGTATCGCCTTATTCAGAGCCGCTTTTTACGCGACTTCCAATGAGGATGTTTAGAACAGCTGTTTCTGAATCACCGTAATAAAAAGTCGATCCTAGAAAATTTACACCGTTTAATTTTGCTTTACAGCCCATTATTTTTTATGGTAGAGTATTATGAGAGATGCAACCACAATAATGCTGAGATATTTGCAAATTTAACCCAGATGCGAACCCACGATCACCCTTTCTAGAGGGTCAAGTGTTACCACTACACCACTGCGGCCTTTGCCTGGCTTTCCCTCTGCCACTTTTTACCCTAACCCATCAAAAAGAATACAGGAATACACTGTCAGCATGGAAATTGATCAAAAATGGGTGAGGATAAATCAACAACCGCTCTATGTAAAGTGGCACCGCTGGACGAGGTTCTTCATTTCAACTGTCCTTGTACTCGGGAGTATGCTTCTCGATGTTTCAACGAGTACTCAAAAGACAAGAACTTTCGACACTTTTCTTGGTTCATTACTGCTCTAAAAAACACGAAGGCGCCGAGAAATTAACCGAATAAAACCTTTATAACAATTTTATGTTACCTCCTTGATGGGCAGAGGGTTGATGATACTTACTGCCGCCGACTACAACCCCTTAAAGTCGTTCAATGAAGTAGTTCCACATTCAACAGCGATTAGAGAGTTCACGACAAACTAGGCCGACTAAAAAAAACAGTTCTCTCACACCTTAGACGAATTGGAAAATCAATGTAACTCGACAGTTGGATGCCGTACGAATTTGTTTGTTTTGAAAGGTTAGCCATCTACCAACGATACCAACAACAACGACAACGGAAACTTACACCAACCTCGCATCAACTCAACAAGGCCAGTTTAAAAGATCATACAAATAAATATATCAATTATTTATAGAAAGTCGGTCTTCCGGGATGCGAAATCTTGCTTCACGCAGCATTGTCATCGGCCGGAAGCCAATCGATTATTTCAATATTTCAAGAATTTTCATTTCTTTCGCTTCCCACTTATTGCTGAAGCTTTCATGAAACGAGCTGTTCCTAATTCGTCTTTACAAATTTCTGTGGTTTTGCAGGCTTAGAGTTTTACAGTGATAGAATGCCACGGACATGTGGTTGTTGGCTTGATGATATTTGCTATGGACTTAGGTACTATTTAAGATTAGAGAATATGAATCAAGATTATTCTTTAAGAACTTCACTAAAATATGTAAAAGGAGGAAAGGAGAAAAAGATCGAAGGCTCAATAGTCTTCATCATATTCAGGCACACACTGACACGATGTCTATAGTCACGTTCCATACTTGAGTGAAAGGATAAATTACGGTGCTAAGAATGAGTCTGACCGATACCATAAACCTCATGGCATGGTCTTTTAAAAGTAGAACAGGTTAAAAAATTATTGCTGGTAATATCATAACTAAAGAGTATTCTTGCTTACCAAAATTCAATGTACACCTAGGGCTCGTCAACAGGTTCTCCCAAATTGGTAACAGCCTCAACATTTTCATCTAAAAGTCCAACTAATGGTAAATCTAAGCTAAAGAAAAGCTCGACGAATTTTCCGTTGATACTTTTTCGTCAAAAACACTAAAAGAATAAGGAAAATCGGACTCGATACGACGACGAAGAGATCACATCAAGAAGACGAACGACATTGGACCATCGACTCAGATCATCGGCTCTAATGAAGACAGTGACGTCGAAACGCTAGCCAAATGAACTTTTTATTTACCTCGCGTTAGCTTAACAGTGAGAGAACAGATACTAACAAAAGCCATTAGGCCAAATCTATAGTGCTCTTCATATCTCCTTGGACGTCTGCGCTGCACCGTGAGACTAATAGTGTCTACTGGCTCCTACCTGAGTTGGTCGACAGTTGACAAGACAAAAACAGACAGGTGACAGGTAACGTTACAAAATGATCCACGTTGTCAAATTTAGGCACGCCTAGATGTTTTACGGATTACCACTAGTGCATTAATTAAAATTTGTGGAAAAATCCACACCAACGAATGACGTATTTGATGATGGCAATTAACTCACCTTATCATTTCTAGTGAGACTTATGGTTTTATTGAACACAGTCTCGATAGGCTGCCTGCTCTGGTCAATCACTGCCAATTTTATTCCTCCATGTGGAAATTCCCGTTCCACAACGTCACGCACATATGCACAGACGTCGTCGTCCTGAAAATGATGGCGTTTACAGAATCGCTTAGTTTACGTGAACTGTGTTACATTAAGGAAGGCAGACACTGCCGAAAAGTGGCAATGTACTTAGTGCTTATCGATCCATTGTCGTCTTTGCCTAGTTGTGAAATAGAACAATATCCAACATTAACTCAAAACACATACAAAAATTGCATTGTCCACATCATCGTGGGTCCATGAATCCGAGAAATATTGATCGTTTTGTCGCTTACTGAGTTGGCTTCGTGCCTCATCCTCGTTGATCGAAACCCGTTTCGAGGTTTGTGCTTCCGTTCTTGGTGAAGAATCTGTAAAAATATGACACTTTAGGTTGGGTGCTACCAGAAGTTTAATCATTTCCATGAAGTCTTAGGTTAATGAAACTTTAGACTACTGTAAAAACCAGCTGTCAAAAATCTGAGCTCATTAATCTTCGCCACAAACCAATAAAATTTGACTTAACATAACTAACAGATTATTTTTCTTGTTATGACGTGCCAATTTCGCTATAGTAAACAAAATAAGTGGAAGCAGTTTAAAGAAGAAAAGATCCCCGCTATCTGCACATGGTGACCCCAAAGGCATCTAATGATACATAATTCCGAGGTAGGAAGAAGAATGAAGAGGGGATCCGGTGTTAGATAGGAAAGCGCCATGCGCTAAGCTCCATCAGTAACATCGTAAAGAGGATTAAATGCACATTTGGTTTGCACATAATGACTTTCGTTGGCCTAACGACGTACCTTTCAGTGCTAGCATCTTCTCAGACAAATTCGATACCAATTTATAGACCAGAGGTAAAGGAGGGTTTGGCAAGCTAAGGAAACGAGATCGAACCACTGACGCCTGTTTTGCTAGGCACTTCTAATCATTATCCGAAAGGAGCCCTTGAACTAGAAGGAGTTTAGAAAAAACTAGAACTTAAGAAAACTACAGCATTAAAAGATCCTTAGTAAGTAATTTAATCAGCTTTAGCCTCACTCAGCATCCAATAAATAGATAGAATTTTTGAAGATAGTTTTATATTTATGTGCAATAATTAGCATATAGCGATCTGACGGGATAGTAGGAAACGTCTGCAGTTCACCAGCAACAAATTTAACTCGAACACTAAGAACGATTCGGTAGTTTCAAACGTTTTTCGAAAATTTCTTTAGAACGATGTTTTCATTTGAGATCTCTGTTTAGCATTTTCTAACATTCCTGATTTCCCTGTGTAGAATGGAAGCTGTTACCACTCACCTTGTCTTCCAACTCCGTGAGGTTGGGCTTCACGAGATTCAGTGGAAACACCATTCAATTGGCCATCTATTGGATTTCTGAACTTAGATATTAAGTACCATCGATTTTCACATGATTTCTGTCACATCATACACAATAGCCCAAGAATCCCCTCCTACCGTACGGAAGTCGATTGTTTTTCGACTTCGTGCCAAGTTTCGCCAGGATACATGGATCGGAACAGGCGCTGATAGGTACTGCTCCATGTCGTTCTACCGTTTCCAAAACGTGGCGATTGCTCACTCATGATCACCGCCACAACGTTTTCCCAGCTTGTGCACCTGCAGTTAAGAATTTATTCCTAAAGAATTTCCTTATTTGAGATCTGCTAGTGCTCACTGCGCCGTCAATTTCAGTTTTTTTGTGTCAGTCGGTAAGCACATCTTTTGCAAAGTACGTGCTGTAAATGCGTCCTTTTTTCTGTAGAAAGGTTGACAACTATGGAACTAATTACTTAATGTCCACCAAGGTAAGAAGTAAAGCAAGGGAAAAAAATTCGACTCCAGCAAATGAACTTTATGCTTTCTTCATACTTTACGCCTTTTGTCTTCTGTTTTATAGGTCTTGTTTTCATTAGATTCGAGAGGGCTTTTTCATTTGAGCGGTCTCAAATTGCAAGTTGTGGTCTACAAAGCCCACTTTATGGCAAGTCACAAACTACAAGGTAAGTGGAGACATCGCGAAGGGCAAACTTAGGCGCAGTCAATGCCAAATGAGAATACATGTACTAAGTTGAACACTTGTGTAGCCTATATTCACCGAGATTAGGAGCAGCAGTACAATTTGCATTCGTTTCTCTCTCGCGCAATCCTCGTCCATCGTAGTGGTCTGCTTCAAACATGGTGACGTTCGCAAATTCCAACCTTTGATCTTGAAATCATTCCTATCTGCGAATGCGGATGGTTGACATTGACCACGACAAATCCACCCATCTTTTGAAAGCCCGTCTAAGAGGACGTTGGCATTCTCATTCTCTCCATTTCACTGTTCTTTTCCTCATATGTCATCTGTTCTTCCTACTATGTGGTCGGCCCATTTGTGCTTCGCTATCAATCTATATTTTCCTACGTCCCGAAGATCAAGCCTTCGCTTTCCGGCAAGACGTTATGAATGCTGATGAAATTTCAGAAGTTGGTTCAAGCGGTGAGTGGTGGACAGGCTTCTTGACATAGTTGAAGTGTCATTCTGCGTTTCCGCTGCATAACAAAGCGCTGGAAGGACTGCGGAGTTGAAAAGGTGAGAACGGATTCTAGGGCTCTTCAGCTGGGCGATGGACTCCTTGAGTGGCCCGAATGAGACCCACGTTGCTATCCTTCTTCTATCTAGCTCCTCCTTCACTTTGTTCTTCACGTTCACTGAACGTCCAAGGTAGTCGTACGAAGTGGCGCTTCGATCAAAGAACCATCCAGTTCGATTTGCTTATCTTCCCATCATATGTTCCTAAAGATATTTTGTTAACTAAAAAATAAACTTTATTGCTGTCCTAATTATTGTCTTTACAACGCTGCTGTCAGTTATCAGAGAAGTAAGATTTCGATGTATCGCTATGCTAAGTGTTTGCGATTTGAACAAACGATAAGCTCTAGGGATAAAGGGTTCAGAGTCAACTAATTTATTAGAGAAGCACCACGCATTTGATCTCATTTGTAGATGGTGGGGCAATTTAATGCATATTTGGCGTACAAAGTGATTTTTAAGCGTAGAGGGTCTAACAATGTAACAAACCATTTCTTCAGAAATCCAGGATGCAGATGGGTTTGAGAGCTAGGTTAGTATGGGACGTGGGTTAGAACTGACTCTGAATGCGTGACCCCTCTAATCTCTGCACTATACATACAAACCTATCATATTTTTCCAACAAAAGCACTAATGTATTAATAAACAACAAAATACGCCCATATTAGTAAATTAATTAACTGAGAGAATACTAAAAACTAAGTGGTATTATTCGTAAGAGTGAACAGAAGAACTCTGAGACTTTTTTATGAATATTTATATGAAAGTAGCAGACTTTAGCACTAAAAAAGACTAAGCTGCTTCACTGTCCTTCTAAAATACCATAAAGGATAAAAGCATAAAGCTCGGCGTTGATCAATCCCTGAGGGACGTGCCATGCATTAGACTTCATTAAGCATCGTTTAAAGGTGATTGAATGCATATCTGGCATTTACAATGACTCGCGGTGGCCTACCGATGTATCGAGTCAGTGCTGCTATCCTCCCAGACAAGTCTGTTACCGATTTGCCGACCCCGAAGGGATGGAAGGTTTGGTGAGCCTGGGACGCGGAATCGATCCCATATGTATTGCAAATGTAACCATTACGCTACACGCGCTAAAATACTGTGGAAATTCTTTTTGGATCGTTCAAGATGTTACATTGATAACAACGACAGTGTGGACAACAACAACAGCAATAATGAGAGCTTTTTTCGAGAACAAAAACGTTTCGATACAGTTGTTGTCATCTGACAACACAGAATGGAGGCATCGCGGTTGCTCTTTGTGAAGGCGATGAATGAGGGACAAGGAGGAAGACGACATTGGCAAACATTGCGAATTTCGCAAAGTAAACGTCATCAAATTCTTTGAACACCGAAGTCGGAGCGGAAAAAGGAAAACACTCATCTGAGTCCTTCACATCATCTTCCAACGGAAGTGCCAGGAAATGACAAAATCGTAAAGCTGGACGAGAAAAGCAGAAAGTGGCGTCGTTAATCCATTCGCCAACTTATGCGTTGACATGAATGCACATGTGGGCGCATAATGCTTCGCAGGTCTTGAATCTGGTGCATTTTCCTTGAGGATCTTCACCACAAAAAAAAAATTGTTTTCTTTGCTGTACTTTTCCATATTCAATCGATAGCTTATCGATAACACTGGTGTTCTGTGAAAAGCTGAGATTGAGTTAAGCTCTTCACAAACACATCTCATGCCAGCATATCTGAGAAAAGTGATTAGTTAAGTTATCAGGTATCGATTTGTTAACAGTTGACCACTCCTAAATGTGACTGACATCGACGAGCCTTTAAACAAACACTACTAGATTTCCATGAAAACGAAACTGTAAAGGATTTATATTTTTTTATCAAAAGCCTTAACCTCGTACTGTGTGGATGAGCTAACGCAAGCATTATATGTTGTCAACTGGTACACAGATTTCAGAAGCGTGAACGCTTCTTCAAAGTGGTCGACCATAGCAAGCTATGAGATTCTACAGATTCATCAATTTTCCGTGTGGTGTGATGACTGCAGAAGGTAAAGCTGAAGTAGGCTCCTTCTAATTCCCTGCTCTTGTCTGGTGTGCTTTGCAAGCAAATCATCTCTAAAAACATCAAATTAAAATTTGCTGTTACTTATTCGACCAAATTTCTTGAATGGGCGAAAGGTTGTCAAGCTTAACTTCATTTTTTAAACTTAACTTAGACTTAAAACGCGTGTGGCGCTGTGGTCGGAGCCGCCCTGCAACACACACATGAAATTGATCTCTGTGCCCATTGCCCACCATGCCTTCCATCCTTCCGGAGTCGGCAAATTGGTACCAAACTTATCTGGGAGGATAGCAACACTGGCTCGATACATCGTTAGGGCACCACGAGTTATTGTAAAGGCTAGATAAGCATTCAATCACCTCCAAACGATGGTTAATGAAGTTGAATGCATGGCGCTTCTCTCAGGGATGGGCCAACGCCGAGAGTTTTATCCTTTTTTATCCTTTATTAAGAGCCTATTCGGCCGCACACCACAATCCAAAGGATCAGTCCTTTCACGATATTGTGACAAGGAACACGGACTAACGACAGCTAGATCCAACATCCATGAGTATGTTCAAGTAATGTTTATATTTACAAATTAGCACAACTTACAAAACAGTATTCTATTGGAGCAATGAAGTGCTGAAAGTTCCTCCTAGCGGTGTCCTTCTTTATGTGTTTAACAATCGTTTGCAATAATCTTCGGTTGTACGTACGTAAGTGGTGTTAATGTTTTTGATTTAAAGTGCTGGAATTCGAACCGGTTATCGGACATCGACAACACATTCTAAGTGTGTTTCATAATAGCGTCACTTTTTATTTACTGCCTATTCTTTTTCTATGGCATAGTGTTGTGGGAAATATAACCATAGCGATGGGGAGATATTCGGAAAACTCCGGACCACCGGTGTTAACGCTGGGGACCAGCGGTCTGTGGTTTGCAAATATCTCTGCATCTTTATACTCACGTTTCATGATAATTTGTGAGACTATGAAATAAAGAACAACAATTGTTTTTTTCTCAACGTGTCAGATTTTGCGGCCAGAACTGAATTATAAATTCTTAAATGTTTCATTTTCTTTCTCATTAATTGTGATCCCAGATTCTCTCCACTACAGCCTTGTCATTGCTGGAAGACTTCCTGAATGTTGAACAGTTATATAAAAAGTGAGAATCATCTTCCAGCATATTCTATAAAACTTTGAACGAGTTATACATTTCATTATCAAGCAGAATTATGAGTTAATCAGTGCCAGCAATCGCCACCATCTTAGTGGGAAATGGAATGGCTAGTTATCCTGCTGACGAGTTGGGAAAGCATGGTAAAGCAATCTTAAGAACATTAGCCAGTGTTGGATAAGTCCTATTATTAACAACTTCGTGCCTGCTCAAGAATAAAACGCTAATTTATAGATAATTTCGAGGTTAATAGAAAGTCGGTCCTAGGAATTCCTATCAAGAGACTTCAGAGAAAAAACTAGCGGATGGGCGACCAGCAAGAAACTACCTAAACGGAAATTCTTCAGTAGCTTCCGTGATTCTTGGTGAAGGCAGCCTGTCCAGCTATACAGGTATCGAAATAGTATCTAATTTGACTAAAAACGCTTTCAGACTTTCAGAAGACGGCTTGATGACAGTAGCAATTATGATGGTGGCGAAAATTGAAAGAGCTTCGAGCAGATAAGCGGCAATCACAAAATTCATCTGAGTTCGTGTTTTCTTTCCCAAAAGGCAAAAAAAACCAAATTTCAGCAGTGATTCCTCTCCAGTAAAAGTGGCATTGGAAGGGAATGAATTAGTTATTGGTGATACCGATCCTCTGTCAAAAATGTTCCGGCTGGCCATCCGTTTTCCTCCATTCTTCTGCGGTTTCTACCAATCCTGCCGATTTCTTCTCATGCTGATCACCTTCCGTACCAACCACCCCAGAGCGGTTAAGCTACGACAACTCATTAGTTTTCATGTAGAAATTATCCTTCCGTATTCTTCATAGT